ACAACCTAGAACAGATCATGGATGTCTATTCTATTAACATTTCTCTATCCGGATAGTGGGGCTGTTTGATGTCTTCTCCATTCAGAGGGCCCCCTGCCTTTCTTTGCCTAGGGCCCCATAGTTCCTAAATCCGCCCCTGAGTTAACTTTATAAAAGTAAAACTCGGCTTATATTTACTGTAGTTTGATTGTTAGAAGGATATAAATAGTTAAGATCAGGTCATTGGGAACTTAAAGCTTATTTTTTCTGGAGCAGAGACATCTGACCGCTGAGTGGATAAAATCCAGAAAAACAACAAACTCGTCTCTAAACATAAAAATCCAAACCTGTTTAATCAAGTTCCAGCATTTTTAAGTTATCATTCTTTTAAACGTAGATCTGAATATCATCAGCAAAATGATGGATGGGAACGTTTTATCAATCTTCCTGTTTTCAGTCGTTAGAAATAAAAATGTTCCAGAAGCGTCGATGTTTCTTCGTCCTCAGAGGGAATTTAGACCAATTTATCGGAGGTTTTAGGTTCTGATCCTCTCAGCCGGAGCTCAGACGTCCGTCTGATTCTGACTCCCGCCGCCTCTCTGCAGGTCCTGGCACAACGTCTACTGTGTGATCAACCAGCAGGAGATGGGCTTCTACAAGGACCAGAAGAGCGCCAGTCAGGGCATCCCCTACCACAGCGAGATTCCCATCAGCCTGAAGGAGGCGCTGTGTGAGGTCGCTGTGGATTACAAGAAGAAGAAACACGTCTTTAAGCTAAAGTAGGTCCTGGAAGATGAAGTCGGGTTTTTCCTCACTGATCCTCCACTAAGCTGCAGCTTTTAGATAACATCTCTTTTAGTATTTGATTTGTGTTCAGCAACCTAAAAAACATGACATCTATATTGTCAAAATCTACAGCCTTAAATATCTGTGGTTTAAACATAAAACTATGCAGAAAATAAGGATCAGTAATATATAAAATAAATATAAAGATACAGTTTGAATTGATCAAGATGATCTCTAAAGCAAACTATCTGCAGGATCTACAGCTCTAGATGTTTAGGCCTAAAGCACCAGTCTGGCTGATCTATGAAAGCACAGATTAGGCTGATATTAATAATCTAAGACAAAAATCAGAGCAAACAGTTGCATCAAAATCTGTGTTTCTACTAAATTTGTAGCAAATGAACCCAGACATGAAAACATCAGTTAAAAAAACAACAAAACCCCAAAAATAAAAACTCTAAATCGCAGCGTCTCTAATGCTGCGTTCACACTGCACGCGTTTTGAGCAGCAGAAGCAGCTGCTTTACATGCAGAGTCTATGGTTCATGCAAATTAAGATGCATTAAAGGTCCTGCAGCGCGGCTAGAGCAGCAGGAGCAGCTGAACATCTGAGGCGCTTCACAAGCCACATCAACCAATGAGAGAAGCTGATCTGGGAGCTGGCAGGGAGTCAGACGCAGCACTGCTGATGCAGAGCGCTATGATCACTCCTCTGTTTGCTTTTATTATCCTTTGACTGCAATTCGTACCACATTCCTGAAAAACGTGTCGTGGGAAAAAAGTATCTAACTATTTACTCCAAGTAAAAAAGGGAGATTAATTGATTTCACTCAGTCAGAACTTTATTTATTTAAGAGAGAACTGTTCATCTTACAGCCCTGGTAATCAGCCCTGTTCTGCCTCAGCAGAGTGTTTTTCCTTTACTTACAACAATGGAAAGTAGTCAGAGTCAGAACAAATTATAAACACTTTGGTTAAACAGTAACATGTTATGAATAAACCTGGAGAAAGAATCTGGTTTGTTTTGGGAAGAAGGTATGTCTGGCCTACAAACACCATCCTGCAGAGAATTGTGTGGCCTTGCAGGTGAAACATAACCTGACTCCACATATCCATCTGGAAACCTTCCGTTGAAGTAATTTTGGGAAGGGGCGAAAATACTGGTTAGCTGATTGGCCTATGTTGGTGATAGACGGGCCAAATAAACCAATCAGATCAACGAAGCATATGACGTACTAACAGAGCAACGACGAAAACAGATGTGAAAACGTTATTTCT